AATAAACATAATCCTATTGTCTCCTCACAATATCTGGGTTTGGAGGGTCTTCATAAGTAAAGATGACATCATCTTTTTATGGATTACTTGCGTTTAATTTAATGCTTAAGAGTTTTATTGATACAATCAGACTACTACTACTACAATGGTAATTTCTTACAACACACTTGGTTTTTATCATCTTTTGGTTTACATTTAATGTTTGTGAGCTTTATAGATACAATGAGACTACTACAACTATCATCATCTTGGATATTAAATTTGGTTTTTAGGTCTTTCAAAGTAATTGAAACAATTAATTTATCATCTTTTTTTGAGCGAGGCAATGCCAAAGCACTATTGTCAGTACTACTATCTACATCAACTTTTCTTCTTTGGGGGCAAGGCTTATTTAAAGCATTATCATCACATATTTTACTCTTTTTGGGGCGATTAGACTTTTGTAAATCAGTACTCTTATGTTTATTGCTACTAACGGTACTGTTACTAGTACTTTGTACATGACTTACAGACACCTTGGCATTCTTACTACAAGGTTCACCATCACCAATTATACCAGTCACTTAAATCTTTCTCTTCTTTCCTTTACTTTTCTTGATTTGAGGTAAGTCATTCCGAAATTTACTTCTGAGGCGGTTAATTTCGTTAATGCACGGATTACTAACTCTAACAGAGAGAGGATCACATGATAATAAATTTAATCCATTTAATGTAAGTACATGAGACAATGCAACATATGCCATACCATCCCCAAAAACATCAGTCGATAAATCAATAATGGCTGTATCTAGTGAGAGGCCCTGACATTTATGTATAGTAATAGCATAAGAAAGTATAAGTGGAAACTGTTTCCTATGTATATACAAATTCTTAGATAGCATAAATCTAGATGTAACCCTTTCTATGTCACAAGGTACATCAATATGATCAAATTTGATTGATATACGTGTAGCATAAATACCCATTACTGTACCAATGGCACCATTAACTAATCCTAATGTCACATCAATATTAGGTCTTAGCATTACTTAACAGCCTACTGCTAAAGACAATACAGTTTCTAAACCAGCTGTTTTTCTTAGTTGATCTTTTAGTTTCCCTAATTTTTTTCTTGTTTTTTTGTCAAATTTTGTTGTGCTGCCACTTTCATCAACAACATCAACACTTGCTAATTCTATTTTCTCAGTTTCTAGACTTTCTAACATTAATTCATTGATTTTTTGGCAAGCGTCTACCTTAGAAAATAGGCAAATTGGAGGATTTGTTCCTTTACTTTCCAATTCTTTATATTTTTTTGTATTAAAACCTTAAATACGCGACTCTTAAGCGTATCAATAGTTTCATCAGTCAGACAGCCATGCCTAACAGAATCAAGCATCTTAATGAATGTTTCATCTCTTTTAGTCGCTCATTGATCGTTAGTTCATCATATTCTACTGTTTCTTTCCATATGTTAACTGCATTTGCTGCTCTAAGTCTTGTTTTTACTAATTTGTTGCTAATTTTTTTAAATACTGGTCTACCATTAACTGGTGGAAATTTTAAGAGGTTACCTACAAATAAAATATTCTTAGATCCAAACCATTCATCAGTACCAAATATATCTTCTAAGTGCATGTGTAAGCATGCTAGATTTAGATTAGATACCTTAGATACCTCATGTACTACTATAATTTTTAAATTGTTAAGTGTCATTTTTATTCTTTTCTGAGCTTCTTTATTCAAAGCCAAATATCCAGCTGTCTT